TGTATGTATGTATGTATGTACGCATACATGCATGTATGTGTGTATGCACGTGTGCATGAGTGTATGAGTATAGTACATGCACATGCATATTCGATTGTTTGATGATCTATGTCGATTTCTGTTGCTTGCATTTCTGGATTTACATATTTGCTCAGTTGTTCGTACTTAAGTATTCATGTACCTGCCTGGTATAATCTTGTTAGACATGATCGTATGCTATGTTATCCTGTATGGTTTGACGTCTTCTATCTTGTCTTATCATGCTATTACCACTGACGCTACTACGTTTCATTATTATTTAAAGCAGCAGCAGCAGTTGCAGCAGCAGTAGTAGTAGCAGTGGCAGCAACAGCAACAGCAGCGGTAGTAGCAGCAATCGTCATCTTTGGGGGTGGTAGTAGTGCTGTTGTTATACTGGCAGCAGCAGCAGCAGCAGCAGCAGCTGCAGCAGCCGCAGCAGGAGGAGGAGAAGGAGGATCATCATTACTAGTGCTAGTATTGCTGCAAGTGCTTATGATACTAAGAGCAAAAAACGAGAATACGAAGACTGACAATGTGACTACTATTACTATTATACATACACATCCACATATTATAACACGGGTGCATACACATGTACATGCGTATCATATATGCATATGTATGTCATATGTGTGCATATGCACCGTGTACTATATACCGTGTGGATATATATATATATACACGATTATTTATATATATATATATATATATATATATGTAGCATCTGTAGTATACATATATACACACCATGCGTACAAAGGCGTACCAACATACCCTGCACCCTGCAGGCACCGAGGTGAGCATTTCCAGGGAAGCCATCCAGTTGATCTTGTGGATAACGGAGCCCTTGGCTGACGGGTTGTCGTCTTTCAGGCTTCAGGTATATGCAGTCCCGTAGTCCTTGTAGGAGAGGGGGACATGGGCAGATTCGGCTTATCAAAATGATGAAACTCGCGGCACTTGAGACAGTCAGTTGCCTCGTGGATTTCAACTCCGCACAGGGCATAACATAATCGGTGACGCTACATCCAGACCCGACGACCAAATTAGCAAAGTACATCTGTGGCCCCTGCCATGTGCTTGGCACAGTCAACAACATTGCTTCGTCGGACCTCCACCCATGCATCAGAGAGGAGACATCACCCCATGGCCCTCTGAGTCGGGATCACCGTTTTGCCGTCTTGGCCTGCGCCAAGTTCTCTGTACCGGACACGCTTTTCGGGCCGGCCGACGAAACCTGCAAGGCACGGCCCTGCATGGAAACGTGCAGGAGACAGAGCGGTTGCAGTGTTGCTGGACGGTCTTTGTGTGCCGAAAAGTTCGGATGCAAATGCAGAGGGTTCCAAGTCGCCTCATTGCCCTCGAACATGACGATCTCTGGGGACTCGATGAAGTGGTTCATCAACTGCAATCAGGACTTTGTCAGGGCAGCAGCAACAAAGCAACAACAGCAGCCACAGCACTACTACATCAGCCAGGAACTAGCCAGTGATCACGAAAAGACGAGCTAGTCATCAACACCAGCATCATCAATGTGTCATCGTCATTATCATCAACGGTGGCAGCAACAACAACACACCTTCGATGCAAGAGCAGACACTTGCCAGTTACACCTGGCATGTGTAGCAGCGACGGATCTGAGATTGGTGTATAATGAAAGCCAAAGAATGCATAGCGTCCACCGGTAACACCAAAGCTTTCCCTTTGTAAACATGAAGCGACATTTACAGTGAGCAACTGCACGTAGATATGATAGCAAAGTCAAGCACTTCAATGAGGATGAGGCACTCTGACAGTAAGTGGGCGGCAACTAGCAACTAGCAGCGCAAACAGCGAAAAGCAAGAAAAGTAGCTACCAACCAAGACCACGGCTTGAGCATTTCGCCCTCTGCCTGTGCCCAGTTCACGGCACGTTCGGACGCCCGCTCGCCTTGGGATCGGAAGACCTGGCCGAGGGCGCCGAATCGTGCGGAAGAGCATGACAGAAAAAAGAACATCTCTGTGTCTATGTGGCGGGGAAGTAGTTATCACTGCGTGGTCCCTCGTTGTGCAAACAGGCCATGATGCCTTGGGACTGGACTGGCAGCCCGCAACGCGGCATGGTGCCCACTAGTTCGCACTTCCTTTACGACCGAGTTTGATCTAGTATCGCGTCGCCCTCGGCCCCATAGCCTAGAGCAAGACTTATGACGTGAGCGCCTCCAGGTAAAGGTCGACTACACCACTGACGAAAGCGAGGACCTAGGCGGCAGCACTGGAAAGGACAACACCGCCAGCAACCCGCGTTCGGACAACCGACCTGAAGGCACTGCTGGCCGATCAACGAGTGACTCTGTGGAGAGTGCTCACGAGGAAGGGTAAAGACGATCGCAATATGCCCGCCCTGCCGACTTCTTGCTGCGCGAGTGTTGCATCGGCACTGGTAGTATGCCTTCGTGGCTGGAACCGATGCATAGCAGACATAGGACAGAACATGCACTAGCTACTAGAATCTACTACAAGACCGTACGACTGTCCCACCGGAAACAACAGAAAAGAAAAAGATGGCCTCGCAGGGATTACCGAAGTCCTCCTCGCGACTTCCGAGACCGTCACCCTGTCCGCATCGTAGGTGCCGGTGCTGACAATGGCCTGCAGTGGGTGGGCTAAGTCCAACACAACTCAAAAGAGCCGAGCTGTCGGAGAGCCTCTGCGAACTCGGTCAAGTCAAGGTTGCTGGTGAAACCTCTTGGCTCCGTGACGACTTCCACACAGAGAGTTTGAACTTGCATGCTCTCTGCTACACTGTCTTTCTGCCGGGCTTAAGAGGGGGGTGCTCTCTGCTACTCTTCACTTCACTTCACTGCGGGGTTCAGGGGGCGAGTTAGACCCCCCCCTGCGACTCTCTCTTTTTTTTTCTTTCTTTCCCCAGGGCTGTGGTGGGGAGTTGCCTCGCCACCGCGGGCATCATGCGCCCCCGCCTGTTGCGGGTGGCAATGGTGAAAACTCTCATACCCGAACGATGGAGTGCTCGCAGAAGGACCGAGTGCACCCCTTCGGAATACAACCCGAACAACGACTCTTTTCTTTCTTTCTTTCTGCCGGGCGTACAGTAGGGGTCCACGGGTCCACTCTCTCTCTCTCTCTCTCGACGTCCGAGGGCCCAGCTCTTCTTGGCCATGTTGAGGGCTCCCTGGTCCAGCTGCGTCACCGCGGTCTGACCCGGGGCACCGACTCAAAACCGCAGAATGCCTAGGGCCTAGAAATGCCACGTTTCAGCTATGACGTCACAACAAGACCGCAATCGGCAGGCGACGTGACCCGGTCTGAAGGCTCCGGGGTTATTTCAGACTCGAGGTTCTCTCTCTCTCTCTCTCTCTCTCTCGCCTGAAGCCCTAAGACTCCCTAAGCATCCCGAGCTGAGCCTCGATCTCATCGGGCGCGCGCCGCCGGAGGAAGGACCGAGGCCTGCTTTCCGAAGCTTTGACTGAAAGGCAGAGGCAGCAGCGATGCCTAGTCCCAACGTTCCGATGCGTCTGTGGGCTTTTTGTGCCTGCTTGCATGTCTATCTACTTGTCTTGCACAAAAGACCGTACGAGTAGATGCAAATAGATACATCCGCAAGCAAACTCAAGCAAGCATACACTGACACACACACACACACACGCGCGCGCGCGCGCGCGCGCGCGCGCGCGCGCATACACATGCACAAAACAAAAACACACACAGACGCAGACACGCATCACCGAAACACATGGGAGCGCAGACAGACAAACTACCGCATGCAAATGAGCACTTACGTATTTACACACATGAACAGATAAATCAATGGATGAATACACAAATGTACACATAACTATAAGTGCACACAAGAATATGAATGTAACGGAATATGTGTATAAAAATATAGATGAACAAACAAGCAAACAAACAAACTAACTAACTAACAAACGCACAAACAAACAAATGCACAAACAAACACATGCACAAACAAACACATGCACAAACGAACAAACAAACAGACAGACAGACAGACTGACGAGCAAACGAACAAACACACAAATATCTATATCTGTATATATGTATGTGTGTGTATATATATATATATGTGTGTGTGTGTGTGTGCGACACGATGGACGGACTGACAGACAGGCGCCAGGGCAGGGTGGGGCAGGGCAGACAAACGAACACATAGACGGACAATTTTCAGATGCGGAGACATAATTTTAACATATTTTAACCGGTGCACACATTGAGCGAGAGATTGACTGATGCACGACCACAGCCACCGGCAGGAAGATAGGCTATACAAGTACCAGACAGACGATTAGCTTACCAAAGAGCTGGACCAAAGGACCAATGGCGATGGACCCAGACGCATACCTTTAAACCCAGCATTGGCAAGTAGTCGGAGATACAAAAAGTTGCAACAACATGCAAGCGCATCTTTAAGCGGAGAAGGCTGCGCCGACAAACAACGGCCCCAGAGCGACAAACGCTGCAGCATAGAACCCGTGAACCAGGATCTAAATATGATATTCCAAACCTGTCACGAAGAGAACTTTGCACTGTAGCCGCCATGGCCTGTACTCGGCCTCCACTAGCTGATTGGCCTCAGTCACGGGATTTGAAACGGCGGGTGCTTATAGTAGTCATGTCGAGACACAAGCAGCTCCCAATTCGCGCTCGTAGTAGTTCTATTCGATCACTCCGTGCACATTTGGGGGACTGAGGCTATGACATCTTCCTGGTGCTCAGACCTGTCGGTCCTAACGAAAGAGGAGCAAGAAGTTCATGGAGAGAGGTTGGGGCCCCGTTGGGGCTAGTGACAGCGCTCATGCAAGCAGCTTATTGCGACTCTGGACCCACTCTGCCAACCAGACTCCCACTACATAATCTGGCAAAAAAACAGCATATAATGCATCATATATCGTAAAAGACACGTATTATATATATATATATATATATATACATGTGTGTAAAAAAATGTATGTATTTGGTTGCAGCCTCCCTGTGCATCCCTGCGGCCTCGACTTCTCCGCACGACGGCCAATGGCCAGGAACTTGTCCTCCAGCTGCTTCAGGAGCAGCCTGTCAGTAGGGTCTTCTTCCAAGCTGACAAAATCCTGAGCTACAGTCATCTCGAAGCAGCACGTGTAACTAAGGCTCTTGCCTGCAGAGATTTGGCTTTGGAGGCCTTTCCTCCTTCAAAGTCGAGAAAGAGCCCAGTGGAATGCTGCAGGCTGTTGCTTGAATCAGAACCCGAAACCGACTGATGCCTGTTGAGGTTCGTCGGGCGAGCTGCTCGCGGCCTCCATTGGAGAAGCCTGAAGCGAAACCTATAGCGACCCTGATCTTTGAACCTGAATGTTGGCCAGTAGAGGCATGCCAGGCTTTGTGCCGCAGAAAGAGAGCAACATGGGCCAAGTGTGAGCTTTCAAATCTTTCAACAGAACATACAGACATTCAGACGGAGGCCGCTGCCAACACCGCTACCCGTACAGCAGACTGTTGCAGCACAGTCGCTCGTCAGTCGCCCCCGCCGAGCCAGCTACATTAGAAGCATGACGTTGGCAGGCGGCTACAGGCAGTTCTGAAGAATGCGACTACTTCGAGGGGTAGTAGACGAACTGCTCCTTGAAGCGTGGCCGTGGCCTAAATGTTTTGTGTAAGCGGGGGTCTGGCGCAATGAAGCTCGAAAAGGATGCATCGATGCCTTCTCTGCTCCTCTATCGCTGCATGTTTGGCAATTCTGAAAAAGCACAGCACACTACGCCGTTATGCTTTGTCTGACTGATCAACTGTTTAACCAGCTCAAACGCTGGAGCCTGAGAGGACCATACGGGCACGCTCTGTTCGGCTGTGCGACATGCGACTGACGGAGTCACTGTGGCATCCAAACTAAAGCTGGTAGCATCCCACATCCAAGCCCGTCGACCTCACCCACTTCCAGGACCTGATCATCTACACACAGCCAGACACCCCCGGCCTCTGGCGAGCAGCCGCCCGATTGCAGAATCCCGGAGGAAGCAAAACGGTAACCCGAGCTCGTGAAGGCTGTTGCAGGCTTGGAGCTCCGTGGTTCAGCGCCATCATCATCACCATGATCATCATCCATGGCATCATGCAACAAGAACAGTGAAATGCTGGTAGCACATGACAGCCGCAGTCGACAGCCCTGAAGAAGAATAGGAGTAGGTGGGCTCAGCAACGACTGACCCGACGGTCGACAAAACGCATCCTGTCCACCTGCTCGTGGGAGTCGTAGTAAACGTAGAAATCGTAGTAGTTGCAATGGAAGCACCACAACTGCAGCAGCAGCAGCAGCAGCAGCAGCAGCAGCAGCAGAAGCAGCACTGCTGGAGCGAGCAGTTTAGCGGCAGCAGCTGCAGCGGTGGTGGTGGTATTGTCAATCTTCTTCTCATCATTCGGATTATGCCTCTGACGTCCTATGACTATGACGATCCTCTGAGACATTCGTTATTGCTGCGCGTAGCTGCTGTGATTAGTGCTGACAGTGCAATGTCACGCTTAGATATTGCTTGAAAGTTCCGACGACGTCTGCGACAACAGCTAGGCCAGTCGTGCACAGCACCCCAACTCCGAGCAGCTCCGCTGGTGAGGGCTTGCGGGGACAAACCTTGTGGTGGACCATGTGGCGGCCTGAGCCCAAGCAGGTCCAATCAGTTGTGATCTGCTATCAAGCTTAATCTGAAGTGTCACAAGTCTGAAACAGTGGAACAGGCCGAGGCTGCTCATCCCATGTGATTAAGTTCTTTCTTGAGATCGGGACGGCGCCATCGCATTGAAAGTCGGTTGTGCCTGCGGTCTGTGAGCAGGCAAGCTGCTGCTGCGGCTTCTTGAATTAGCTTTGCTCTCTCTCGCGCACTCCAGCATGAGGCAGCAACCTCACCGAAGCCGTGTGGCAGTGATCCATCCACGTCTCGATGCACCACTCCTGTGCTTTAAAGCGGAGCCGCATCAGCATCAGGAAGGCAACAAGAGAGAACATCAGCAACAGAACATACCAGTCAATCAAATTAGCACTAAGGCCACAGCTGCAACAACAAAAACAAGTACGACAGCTCCTACCACTTCTGCCGCCATCAGCACCATTATTACCATTACGTGACTGCAAAGCACTAGAAAAGGCACGACGACAACCACAACAGCTGAAAAAAGGCAGGATGGCTACAGCAAGCTCGTGCTGTCAGCACTGTACACAAGAAATCGGATGCAATGCTGATTGCACTTGCAAGCTTGCAAATCCTGGCCGCTGTACAGCAGCGGCCGACAGTGCTGCTGGTTCGCTCCTGCCAGAATTGGCAGACTTGTTTCAATTTAGCACTGCTGCAAAGCAGTTCACATGCAGTTCCGAGCAAGCTGCAGCATGCTCCTGTACCAAGCTGCTCAAACTCACTGGGCGCCGGGCGTCTTCGGCATTTGCCTGCTGCGCCTCTGGCGCTGTGCGCGCTTCCAATCCTGCAGCATGACATCACACAATCCGTTCTTGTGGACTTTGCTTGCTAAGATCGACAAGAAACCACTCCTGCAATGCACACCTGCCAGCTCATTGCACCATGCACACATCCACTGCTTGCCTACGACGCGAAACACACTTTTTGCCGGGCATAGACCTTTAACTGAGATACACCGACTCTAAGTCGGCACCTCTGGCATTTAGGAACTTGAAGACATCGTGCGCGAGCAGACGAGTGGCGATCTCCTCCCTTCATCCCTGTCTCGAAGCGGGAAACGCCCCGTCAAGCTTGACGTTGTCCAGTTGATCTTCAGAAAAACCGTTGTGCAGCATGTGCTCTCCTTGCCTCCTTGAATTGCTCCTCCTCTAATTCCTCAGCCCAAGGATTCAGATCTTGGACATATTGCTCAGCAATCGCGGACATCGGTTTATCCGCTTCAGCAGCCAGCATGCTGCGCGGGCAAGTGCTGTCGAAGCCGCAGGTACGGTGACTGTCACAGTTCAGTGGGGCTCGTTTACTTTAATGACCCTGTGCAAAGCCAAGTCAGACACTAGCAACGTTTCGTGCTCGGCGAAGTTCTCAATGCGCCTTGCTCACTCGAACATGTCCTTCTCCTCTGCAGTCAAACCTCCAATATCGTAGACCGGCCGATTATGAATGGCTACAGTAAATATTTTTGTCAGGGTATGTAACGCGAGTTGCCTTACTACACAACTCACAGCATGCCAGAGCTTCCGGCTCATGTCCGTAACTCCTTGCAAGTCACAAGGTGCAACAGGCAGCGCTCATAGACGCATAGACATACTACTGGAAGTGGCCACCAACATCTTTGCCGTCCTTGTGGGGGGTAACACCCAAGTGGATTCCAAGAGAGAGTTTCACGGAAAAGCCGCGCGGCCACAAGGCCAACATGGCTCTGCTGGCTGACGCCCCGGAGATGATCTACACCGTGCCCGCTTACCCAGAGCAATCGCCTTCACTGAACAAGTCCATTGAAAGAAGCCGGCAAGTCGGGAGCTGACTTGTGGGCTTTCGGGCTGCGAGCGCTTGGGCTGGCAGTCTCCAGACAACCAAGCGTTCAAGCAGGGGACGGCGTAAAAAAGCCATTGCCCATCATTGCCCTGCGCAAGCAATATGACCATGCCAAACTGCAAGTTGTTCTCTGGTCGGCGTGCGAGCCCCTTCCGTAGCCACAGTCCAACTCTTTCCGGGCAGCGGCAAGCCAGGAACGGCGCCATCCAATTACGACGAGATTTGGCAGGGTCCCGATTGTCATGATTGCTGTGTCTTCCGACCGATCGGCCTTTGATGGGCAGATATGACTGCACGCATCAACAGACTGATCAGCTGAATGCAGTGCTTTACAGGATCATTGCAGGAATGACCAAGCACGTCGAGAGTCGAGAGGTTTGGTTACACCCACTCGCCGATTCATTTCGACTCGCAGCTGCACGCCTCTGCTGAGTTGAAATTTTGCAGAAATGTTTGGAAACGCACACTGCCAGTGTGCGTCCAAACATTCTGGGAACATATCAACTCAGCAGAAAGTGCTAAGAGTCGAAGTGAGCCGGAGCCAACTTATTTACAAATTACTACTAAGGTTATCATTATCGCTATTTTTTAGTATTATCATCATTGAAATTATTCATGTGAGCATTGTTATCACAAGGGCCCCCGACGTCGAAAGCCCCGATGCGGTGGCGCCCGGGGGCGCCGGAACGCTCCCAGCTGTGGCCTTTGCAGCCGCCCATGGCGGCCGCCATGAATCATGTAAATGGTAGTAGTAATCATAATGATAATAATGCTGGTAATAGTAATAGCAACAATCATCATAATAATATCAATAGTCATGATCATTATCATGATTACTATAATTTCTAGTCCGGGAAATGGTCGTGCCAACATGAGCATGGAACATCATGGAACCGTCTGGTGATGGTTATCATTGGCGTCTGGGCCATCGGCAAAGCATTCGAGTTTCGACCTCACGTCGTTCCTGTTCTCATCCGGCAACCACGTACGGCGCTTCCCAACCAGAGCCAGCAGGTTGGCAAGAACAACAAGTGCCTCCTCCTCGGTCCGACTTTTCCAGGCCCCGATTCGGTGTGAAGCACTCCAGCGAGGCTGCCTCCGCCCTTAGGCATGCCCCGATCGTCTGCAGGGAAGCCTTGGAGTCACGGGAACCGGCATGCGCTCCACAAGCAGAATCTCCCTCGCGAGCCACAACCTCGAAACCGGAATTGTCCGGAGAGCCATCTAAGTGAGGGAGCGGTAGAGCGCACGTAAAGTTGGATGCATTGCCTTGAGCCGTTGGGCACAGGAGCCTTGAGCAGGTACAGACACCCATGGCAGAGGTGATAGCACTTGCAAGCTTTCAGCATCTTTCAGCTGGGAATCTTGTCCCTGACAACTTCCGGCACATTGGTGGATCAATGTAGGGCCAACAGGGACCCAGCCCTGTCCACGAGCTGTGCAACGGGATCGGCTCACAAGAACATCAGACCGAACTAGATGCCGAGACTGCCTTCCCTGTTGGAAAGCACGACAGAACAATCGCGAGCATCTGGCTCCATACCCCTTCAGGGCATAGCCTCTCCGCATGGGAGTCAATGAAAAGATCTTGAGCTCAGCCGTCTCTACTACAGCCCCAGTTGAAGCCCGATGCTCCATCAAATTACGTGAAACAACTCGGCCTCCGCCAAAGGCCTCGCCGACCATAAGCGGACCGTGAAAGTGGGCTCCACTAAGCTTCAGGACACACTGCGCTCGCTCAGATCAGGGGCTGATGAGCTCGGGATCCTCCGTGTCAAGGCTTAAATCCACTGCTCTGGGAAGTGCAGGCCCCATGTACCACTTGCGAGTGCCGCTGCGGAATCTTGATGTGTCGGCCAAGATACCGTCTCGACCATCTCCGCATCCGTCTCGCCTCTAGACACCTCTGCAGGAGAGCTGCCGCTTGACTTCGTCGCAATAGGTGCATAAGTAGTCCTGTGATGGTGCTGCAGCTGAAGCAGTGCATACCCCTGACAAGATCCAAGGGCTGCACATCAGAAGGAGGATAGCTTGGAGGCAGCTCGTGCTGCTTGGAACCTCGACATACCACAACATGCAACTTTGCAGCCACTGCTCCAGGGCCAAGAGCTTCAGTAAAGTAGCAGCGCAACTCGAAGAGTTGCCAACCACAGGCACTTCGCTGGAATTAGCGGCTCCGAATTTAAGCATCTGAGCAACTACGAGCATTGATTGACAAGAAACACTGGGGACTGCACAATCCAACTGGGATCGCAATGAAGTCATCCGCTGGTTCACCCGAAAGTCAATGCTCTTCAGCGCCTGCTAGGAGTTGGAGCTGCTTTGAATGTTCATGACTGGTTCAAGCCCACCTCTGCATACTCGCGCTGCAGGCTGTCCATGGCCTTGCAACAGAGGGTCAAGTACCCGCACACCTGCACAGACCCTTCCAACCCGAATTCCGCGCAAAAAAAAAAAATCGTTCTCCAACTCCAAGTCATCGCCTCCTGCCATTGCCGGGTGGGAGCTGCACCGCCCGGTGGCGGCGGCGCTGCAGCGGCCCCGCGCGGCTCCGCCCAGGCCTCCCATGCTGAAGAGAGTCGCCCAGCAGAGGAGCCCTGGCACTGGGGCTCTGACTTCCGTCGCCTCATTAGTGGAAGCTGCCGTCGACACTTGCCTCACAAGGCAGTGAAACGCTCAGATTCAGCAAAGTGTGAGTTTACTTTGGTATTCCGGTTCTACTTGGAGCTTGCCCTCACTCAGCCACCCGTGCCTTGTTTCCGAGTCGTCCTCGGCCACGATTGGTGTCGAGGATCTTGCCTCGGAATGCCCGTGCAGAGCGCATTAAACCGTGTCAGTCACAGCAACTACTAACTACATATCTACGATAACGCCTACCACTGCTATCTCAGAACAACGTCGGCAACCTTCTCCAGAGTATCAAGTTTCAAACTTCAACCCTTCCAGGGCAGGGTCTGCATTTCACGGCACTTGCTCAAAAGGCTCGAAATCAAGCGAGAAGCCGAAGGGGCACCGGACGATCCAGCCTTCCTTGCAGCTCGAACTCGGAGCTCGGATGCTTCAGCTCGCACCACAGCAGAACTTCCTAAGCACCGAAAGTCCTCCCCGAGCTGGATCCTGAAGCAGGCCGTGGTGACACCTGGGCAACAGACTACCAACGAAGTCCGGGACAGGTTTTGCAATCTCGCGAAAGCAGCCTCGAGGTCGACAACTTGGGCTCGCACCGCAAAAGTCTGTCGCTGCGCAGGAGAGCTGCTCACGTCCTCAGCTGCCACAACAACTCGGACGGCACGACTGCAGATCGGCGTCGCACGGCTCAGGTGGACAAGTTGCAACTATGCAGATGTCGAAGGGGCTTCAGCAGACTGGAGACATACATGTTCAAACCACACAGCAGTTGGGATGCCGGCACCATCTGCACGTCGTGCCTCGACTCTACTCACAAGCCCTTGTGCATAGTGGGCAGATTGATCCAGTCAGCATCAGGCACGCCGGCCCCAAGCCCTAAACCCCGTTTGAGCCGGCTCTTGTTGCGACAAGCCCTGCTCCTTCGCTCTGGACCTGCTGTCTGTGCTGACGCCCGGGGAAGTGGCCACCGGTGAAGGATAACCTCGCTCGCTTCAAACCAGACATGAGTGACCATAAGGAAACACTGGTAGGCTGCGGAATGCTAGCGGTGATGGTGACGGTGACGTTGAAGTTGACGTTGGTGGCCGGTGGTCGTGGCGGTGGCGGCAGCGGCGGCGGATGGCAATGATGGTGATGATGGTGATGGTGGTGGTGGTGGTGGTGGTCGGGGTGACGGTGACGATGCCGATGACGGCAGAAGCCGAGACGCACCTGTAGCATATCACTAATCACAATCAACAGGAGCACCAGGACCACAAGAACATGCTGTCTGAAACTTCAATGGCCACTCAGGCCCTCGCCCTGTCTCTGCTCGGAGGGGAGGGCCATTGCAGGCAACGAGAGAGTTGGTTCGCACGATGGCAGCAATGTCTCGTAGTAACACTTGCCGTCGTAACTATGATGATGACAGCGAAAAGAGTGCTGCGTGATTCTCACGGCCATCGTCATTAACGAGTACTTGCCTAAGTACTTACATAGGCGTATGCATGCAAACCCTGAGCAGCAACACGGGCAAGTGAACCTCACACAATCCAGATAGACATAGACCACATGGCCTCTGTGCCGCGTCAAAGGTCTGCTATGGCACCGACAGAAGAGCTAACGAAATTTACTTGGGCCACATTGCATGCCTGTCTCACTCTAACAGCCAGCTTTCTTGCGAGAACAAACATTTGAACCTGCAGCCCAGTCCTCCCGGCGCTGCTTCAAACGGGACTGGTGGAAGAGGTGGCAGTAGGCGCAACTCAGCCCATCGAAGCTCGACGCATTCGACGCTTCAGAGTCGAACTCCCTCGGTTCGGCTCTCGGCTCTCCTCTCGTTCTCTGAGGCCACGGCTCGCGATCCATGCGGCAGCCACATAAGGAAAAGCAGTAGAAGGCGCAGGGCTGGCGTGGTCACGCGTGGGGAGAGGGTCAGGAGCAGGGCTGGAGGAAATGCAGTCACAACACAGACAGAAATGCCGTGAAGGTGGAGTTCAGGAGCTCGAAGTGGGGTGGGATGGTGCAGAAACAAGTCTATCGCGGAATTGACGTAACATGCCCCGTACCTGTCTAGAAACCATGAAGCCATGCGCATGGTGCTGGCACGTGCAGATTTGTCGAAGACTCGCTGGCTCAAGAAGCCGCAAACGTAAGGATGTCTCCGGGCACAGCCTAAGACTGCACATCTATCTCATCTTTGTTGATGTCGCGGGGTCTTCGACACCCAGGCAAAAGAGCACACGGACAGCCAAAACACCTTCCACTTGCGCGCAATTCTCAGGTAGGCGTGAGTCGCTGTGCACCCACCCGATCCACCGACTCAGGCCCATATTAACTGCGTTTACCTCTGCTTTTGCCGAAAGCCTGACATTTACGCACAAAAACTGCGCACACTCCTGGCATTTGATTGTTCGCATCCGCGAGGGTTCAGCGATCCGTCTGCTGCACAGGCGGCTGCGCATCCGATACCTCCAGCTCAGAAGCGCAACAGCAAATTTCGCAGAAATGCCACATGTGTTGCTGACACTTGCTGATGCTCCTGTGGAACAGGAAGGACTGATAGCAGTGTTGATGCACAGATTCTGCGAATCCAAACGACCAAGTCTGTAAAGCCAACGAGCATGCAAACGCCTGCACATGCTTGCTGATGGACCTTTCCGACACAGCCATACCTACGGCGTTTATGCGAAGTGCCTGCAGGAACAGGTCCGAGACAAAGTCGAAACTTTCCTGTCGCCAAGCTTGCCACACACCGAATGCCAAAGTCGGTAAGTTTACCACTGTAGGCTATACTGACATGCCTGCGCCTCAGCCTAAACAGAAACTCATCGGAAAATAGCCAAACGTGTATCAATCCATTCACACGACCACGTCCGCACGTGTGGACAAAACTCCAATTCGAGCAGGCTGTTGCATGGCCAACTGGTCAAGCCGAAAGCCAAAGGAAGCAACCTTACCAGGAACGCAAAGCCATCTCGAGAGCAAGGCATTCTGAAACATCAATAGGGTCGAAAGAACACTTACCCACAAAAACCAATCGTGACAGCAATCATTCCCACAGTCATCTCACCCTGCGGCTTCATTCAGTGCTAGACGATCAAGTCGGCCTGCGGCTTTTGAGAGCTCGCTGTGGTAGGTGCCTGGGAAACCATCGGAGCTTTTGACGGCTGTGACAACGATAGCGGGAGACACTTAACAAGGAAAGCACTCCGTCATAAACTGTTTGTCATGATGCTCCTATCTCTAAGCTGTGGCAGGTCAACTCTTTCAAACCCTCAGGCCTTGTCAGTCT